ACTTCAACTCCCAGAATTCCCCAGCCAGCATGGGTCCACTCATCTTAAAGTGGCCAAGTTTGGACAACACTGCTTTAAGTGGTTATGCTGATTGTTGGTGGTGGTTTCTTATACCTCAGCTGCTGGTTGTGTTGTATGATTTTTATATAGTTTTTGTTTATATAGTTTTTTATATAGTTTTTATACGGTTTTTGTATTGCTTTTTGTTCTTTTATAGAGTTTTGCAATGGTTGTATAGGATTTGCCACAATAAAAGTGATAACATTTATGAGGTAATTTCTGATTAAGGGGGAAAAAAACAGCTTGTGTTCATAAGTTCAGAGTTTGAATTTGGTCTTAGGAAAAGGTTTTGGTGTGATAGCCAAATTGTTCTAAAGAAAAACTTCCTCTTGAAAGTGTTTATAAAGATGTTAATGTACAATGTATATTTTTTTAATAGGAAAATATTCATTTCTATTAAAAAGTATACATCTTTACAATATTTTTTTAATGTTTTGCACAGAAGTGGCTGTCTAGTATATTTAAAACACAATAAACTGTAGGGATATTTTAGAAGCAATGTCCCAGGATGTAATGTGAAGATATGTTTGAATATTTCTGTAAGGAATGGTTAGACTAACTGCTTATTTTGCTTCTGTACCTCAAGCTTCTTCTGAAGGGACATTTTTAACATTTTGCAGAGGTACAAAAGGAAATGGAAAGATGTAGTTAAGCTAAAGGCAAAATGTCTTGCTTGTTCATATCAGAGCTCCTGGACGCATTTCCTGAGCATGGGTACAAAAGGAAATGGAAAGATGTAGTTAAGCTAAAGGCAAAATGTCTTGCTTGTTCATATCAGAGCTCCTGGACGCATTTCCTGAGCATGCATGAACCTTTGCACCTATTCTTGTTTAACCACATTATGTAACCACATCCTCTGCAATAAATTAGGCTTCTTAGCCAAAAACTTAGCAATGCTTTATGACCCCCGGAGCAAGTGAGGACTAGGAACTTGAAGTTAATGTTTTGACAACCTTGGAAGGCGGGCACACGGGTGTGTGTGTGTGTGAGAGAGACCCTCCTCCTAGATGCTTCCTGATGACAAAAAGGTATAAAAGCTGTTGTAAACTGTTCTGGGTGTGGCTGGTCTCTGTCTTTTCTCTGGCAGCCGGACAGAGAGTGGTTCACCCTGCTTTTCTTCTGGCCCGAAATAAAAGCTGTACTTTCTTTGGAAAAACCTCGATCTGGAGTCTCATTGGAAATCATGGAATCCAGGCTAGCGAACCTTACATTTCATTCTTACTGTCTAAGCTATGCCATCTACAATTTAAAATGCACATTTTTTTTTATAGGGGACACCAGCAAGTCATGTACGATATAAAGTAGATGTTGTCCAGTTTCCATACAGTGCAAGTATCTTTGATGTTGAAGAAGAATCTGGACGTGTAGTAACCCGAGTGAATCTTAATGAAGAACCTAGTTCATTATTTAAGGTAATTATATGCATTTACATTTCAATATGTTTAAGATAGCCTTCCTGGAGTCCATCCAGTGAGTTTGAATTGCAAGTTCTATGTTTCACAGGCAGCAGAGCCAATCTACCTACAGGATGGCAGATTAGTGAATGCGATTTTAATCTGTTGCGTAATAATGCCACTACAGTGACACTACACAGAATTTGCTCTCTATATTATTCATATTCAATCTTTAATACGTGTTGATATACTTTGTTTCACATTTCCAGATTAATTGCAGTAACTTAACCAGAAATGAAATTAACATTTAAATAAGTATGCTTTGGGCTGAATACTTCCTCAGGTTTCAATGAAGTTTTGTTCTCTTTTATTCTTAATATGAACTATGCTAATAAAATACAGGTAGTCCTTGAGTTATAACAGTAATTGGAACTGGAATTCCACTCCTGGGCCTCAACTTCAGCCCCAGTGCCGCCGCCAAGGAGTGCCACCTCAAGCCCGTGTTGCAGCCGGCCGCCCCAGTGCCACAGCACAAAGCCCCTGCCACCCTCTGCTCCACAGTCCCTACTGCACCCAGATGACCTTAGTCGTCTTCTTCCCACTGCTCACGAGGCCCTAAGCTTTCCAAAAGCCTTCTGAAGCATTGTGAAAAGGGGCTGCAAGAGGCCTTGGGAAGAAGGCCTGGCATGATCAGAAGCTGCCTTGTGGGCCTTGAGGCCACACTCCTCAGTGATGGCAGCACTGAGGCCGAAGTAGAGGCCCAGGGGCAATGGCAGCCAGCTGAGACTGCTGAAGGCCTCAGACCTCTACTTCAGTCCCAGCGCCACTGCCAAGGAGTGTTGCTGTGCAGCATGGCAAAAAGGGCAAAGATATGGGGCAGGGAGATAGGCAGGTGATAGGAGTTGAAGCACCCCTGTGGTTGTAAGTGCAGGCAGGCTGCCAAGCACCCAAATTTTGATCATGTGACCATGGGGGTGCTGCAGTGGCCATAATTTTGGGGACCAGGCATAAGTACCATTTGTTCAGTGCTGCCGTAACTTCAAATGGTCACTGAATGAATGTTTGTAACTCGAGGACTACCTGTATAGCTAGAAAAAAATATATTAATGTATTAAACTATCCTACGTCATGAATTACATGTTTTTCTTTATGAAAACATTTCTTCTATTGTGGGAGGAGAAATAAAAGATGCTTCCTAAACAAACTGGAACATTGTTTCTCAACCTTAGCAAGCTTAAGATGTGTGGACTTCAACTCCCAGAATTCCCCAGCCACCGTGGGAGCTCTTGCATAGGATTGATATAACTTCCATCCTGAAGGGGACTTTTCTCCATAATGATGTCTCCAGTTTTAGAATGTTATTGAAATGTCCTGTTTCTTTACTCTAACAGAGTCTGTGACATTTTACACAGTAATAAGCATGCATACAATTGTGAAAATTGCTATTAATTAAGATATGTGGTATCTGAAATTGTTTGTGAAGTAGATCCATTAGACTAACAGTGTTTCCGGTTCAGCTTTTTATGAGTTTAGATGACTGTGAAACTTTAGAAATTCAGATTTAGACCAATACTTACAGAAAATCAAATCCAACTTAATTTAGGAAACAAGGTTGCCTCATTTTTTTTTTCTGAAGGAAAGACATGTTTGCTTTATGATAATTACATTTCTGGCCTTATATATTCAATTAAAATAGTTGATTTTAATCTTACCTTCTCTTAATCAAAAACATGCTATCAATGAAAAAGGTATATCAATGGTTCTGATTAGTTTTAGAACATTTATCAGTTTTCTTAGAGAACATCTGTGTTTTATAACTTTAAACAATTTGTTTCTATATGTATAAGGAATTATAACCTATGATGCTTTGCAATGAATGAATGAATGAATGAATGAATGAATGAATATTATTCCAGTAGGAATGCAAAAATGTCCTTTTCAATATTGTAGTATGCCATCCTAAACCTATTTATCAGAGTAAGTAATTGAACAAAGTGAAGCTTTCCTTTGATTAAATATTGACAGGATTAAATTAAATTATTAAAATAACGTACAGGAAAGCAGAATATCCTGCACTGATCTCAACAGATTCAGTTTTCACAAATCTTGATGGACTACTTCAAAACCCCATGAATTATCTTGCTGGTAGATGTTTCCAAT